ACACACCCTCTAGTCTGTGTGTCCCCCAGCACACCCCCTCTAGTCTGTGTGCCCCCATCTTCTTGCCCTGTAGCACTGCAGCTGTGTGCTGGGTTGGCCTCCCTGCCCCAGAGTCTGTAACTGGTTTCTGAGCGGTTTGCATTATTCATAGGAAGAAAGCAACCACATTCAGGCCTCTTGGGATACACATGCTCTCCAGCTTAGGGGTCTAGCTATCACCTGTCCTGTGAGGTCATGGGACACTAGTTCCCAGGTTTGTCAACACTGTGCCCGGAGGGGAGAGGGCCATTGAGTAGGTTTCCCAAGCTCCTACAGGTTAGTGACCTCTGTTATTATCCTAATTCCAAAACCCACCCATTGGATAAGGAATCCCAGTGGGCTATCCTTATCTAATTTCCCTAACAGTCATGGTGGAAAAGACAGAAGTGCCCGGCTTGGCTGCTTTTCATGTAACCCTGAGTTGTGAGAGTCTAGCATTAGTTTGGGGTCTGTCTTGGTGTTCTGTTGCTGTGAAGAGACACCATGACCACGGCAGCCCTTACAAAGGAAAGCATTTAATGGGGGCTGGCCTACAGTTTCAGCAGTTTAGTCCACTGTCATGGTGAGGACCACGGCAGCACACAGGCAGGCACAGTAGTAGAAGATGTAGTTGAGAGTTCTGCACCTGGATCCATAGGCAGCAGGAAGAGAGAGACACTGAGAGCCCACCCAGTAACACTTCCTCCAACAAGGCCACACCTCCTAACCCCTCCCAAGCAGTGCCATTCCCCGATGACTAAGCATCCCAAACATGTGCTAGGGAGCCATCATTGTTGCCAACCACCACAGGGTCACAAGGGCTCCCCTGCCTTGCTCCAGCAGTCCAGTCATTGCCATCCTCTTACTCAAGGGCCACTGTGCAGTGCTGAGGCCCTCAACCTGAGAATCACTGCAAGTGGCCAGTGTCTGTGTTCTGTGCTTCAGAGTCACTCTGATCCAGTGTGTGCAGTGTGTGCTGCAGTGAGGGCCAGTGTCTGTGTTCTGTGCTCCAGAGTCACTCTGATCCAGTGCTTGCAGTGTGTGCTGCAGTGAGGGTCAGTGTCTGTATTCTGTGCTTCAGAGTCACTCTGATCCAGTGCTTGCAGTGTGTGCTGCAGTGAGGGCCAGTGTCTGTGTTCTGTGCTCCAGAGTCACTCTGATCCAGTGCGTGCAGTGTGTGCTGCAGTGAGGGCCAGTGTCTGTGTTCTGTGCTCCAGAGTCACTCTGATCCAGTACTTGCAGTGTGTGCTGCAGTGAGGGCCAGTG